TTCTTCATGTTTCGCTCCGTATTCTGTTTCGTGTGTTCGTAACTGACGCACGGTGCGAATACCCCGGGTGAACAAGGCAAATTTAGTGTTTGGGTAGTATGCTGAGGCGAGCGAAGCGAGCCGAAGGCATGCTAGTTATTTTAATACAAAACTACACACTACTTTTACTTTTAACAGAAATGTGGAAAAATGTTATCATTAAAATATGAATATTGATCGAAAAAATTTATAAAAATAAACAACTATTTAAAGCACTTCAAAAACTGTTGAGAATTATGCGGCATTGTATGGAATTATACGGAATTATTTAGAATTATCGGGGTACTAGATTGAATTGTGAGAATTACGAAACTGTAGTAGTGTGCCCCTTGCTAGCCACTTTGCGTCGCTGTCAGGATTCAGTGGTAGCTGATAGAAGGGAAACTTTAATAATGCCGTTATGTCGTAGTCATTTAATATTATGCGAAAGTTGAGATCGTTGGTTTCACTCATTTCATAGTTATTCTTCTCTCAAACTTTCATATTTAAAAATAAACAAAGCCGTTTCCATCGATGCATAAGTTCATTTCGTACATTTTATATGCACAATATATTCAAAACATTGCTGAGAAAATGTTCGTCGGTCCATTCGAAATTTTCACCGCGTTCTATGAGTGACTGATTTTTTTAATGTTGCACAAAATCATATCTAAACCACTAAGCGTAAAAAACTCGTATATCTACCACTGATTAGAATGTCTGTATAATAATAAATGTTATGTAAAAATAGTAATGATTGGAAGCTTTTATAATTTTACTTTTCCGCACAGAGTGTGTAAGGTAAAGTATTGGAATCAGTCGAAAAATTAATACCCCCCAAAACATGTTCTCTGGGTGTTTTCGGTGCCAGTGAATCAGAATCGGCCGTTATTTTTTCATGTCCGAATGTATGTGTGTACCCTGTACGCAAAAATGTGTTAACACGATAACTTTCAACCAAGAAAGGTAATTCAAAATCTGACTTCACAGGATGATTGGGGGTCGCGAGGAATAGAAACCATTAGGTTTTGAGTGACTTTGGCCGATAATGAAAACTAGATGGCTTGTCGTATTAAATTCGGAACTAGTTGACACTCCGTACAAAATTGTATTTTTCCTTCACACCAAAAATAGAGTAAAATAGAGTGCGTAACTCATTTTGAGGGGTAAAGTCTCTTCTAACACCGCAAGTGCGAGTAAGCGTACTCGAATACCTGTTTCTGTGTTGAGCTGCCATATTACTAAATATAGTTTGTTACAATCAGCCATAATCATTATTATTTATTCGACATTTCGAAATAAGTTTAAAAAAATATTTTTAAAGGAAATTATTTGTACTTTTTTATTTCAAAGTATTTGAATATAATAAAATACAAAGGAAGGACAAAATTCATTTGATTCTTTGTTATTTGGATTGATATGATGAATTTGGTAAAAGAAGATTTTATAGAAATTTATTAGCAATATGAACGGATATAAAATTCTCATTGAACTTCAAATTTTTATGATCAACATTTGTATATATTTGAATATAGTAAGAAAAATAGATCTGTTTTTTTATTTTCAACTTATTTTGAAAATTGTTTATATGTTATAAGTTGTTATAACATGTGGTGTCATATTATGTGAATGTTAATGTTATCAAGAATAAGAGCATAAGAGATTTTTAGTGTATCTAACGAACAATAGTTCGGTTCATGTGTCGCGAAATGAGCGATTGTGATAAACACTTCCGCAGTTTCGTAGTCATATAGAAAACATTGACAATATCCCATAAACCGATAAGAAAGAGCTAAGAGGGAAATAATTTTTTCTTTGTACATTCATAAATATTGTAAATGTGGCATTGACTCGACGACACAAGTGATTTTCTTCAAGAGAGAATATTCAGTTAAAGTTTTTGTTTTAATGTATTTTATTGAGTTTCTTTGTATACTTTGTAAGATATTAAAATGAAAACATTTTCGGGTCTGTTGTTTATTTCAAGTGTACTGTTAGCGCTTAGTTCTGTATGTGAAGGTAGATTTCTTTTCCAATAGCAGTATTTTCACACAAATATTTCTTGTATTTGTGTGAAAAATAAAATAAAAACGAATAAAATTAATTAAAGGTGGTAGGCCAATTAGAAGAAATCGGTCCTCTTGTCCGGTCCCGAAAATTAACCATGGAACAGTTCGATTACAAAAACGAGGGCGTATGGTTTATTTCTTTTGTGATTCTGGCTTTGAAATACATGGATCCATGGGTGTTTTGTGTACCTCAGGACGATGGAAACAAGAAATGCCAATTTGTACAAGTGATATATACTATAGTTAATAAAAATATACTTAACGATTTAATGTAAAATTACTACTTTTAAACTTCTAGAGGCTGGTTGTGAATCTCCACCGAAAAGACAAAATGGATGGGTTATGCTCGACGCAAAAAAGCAAACATCTATGTTATTTTGTCGCGATGGGTATGTAAATGTAATTATAATGTGTCGTCGATATGTAAGATCGACAAAGAAGAGGAGACAGTAAAGTTCTACGTTAGAAAATACACACAGTATCGGATTATAATACGATTTGAATGATTTTATTCTTCTCTTTCGCAGATATGTTGCTGCCCATGCTACGATTGCTTATTGTGATGGAAAAGACTGGGACAGAGAATTGGGCTTCTGGTTGGTATAATAAGTACAAAACACTTCTTTCGAAGTTCCCACTGTGGCGCAATACTGTAAATCTGTAAATGTTCTTATATAAATTTTCAGTGACGCGTTCGTTCATATACATACAAAATGTTAATATTGCGTCGCCTCTTTCACAGCAAAAAATATAAGAAAATCAGTGCATAAATCTTTAAAAAAACACTAAACAATCGTTTATTGACCGAATATTGTGCTGTTAAGCGTGTTCAGTTTATCGTATATTTTCTGTTCTAAGTTTTGAACATGTCTATCACTTTGGGTTGGCATTTTTTGAGGCGACGCAATATTAACATTTTGTATGTATATGAACGAACGCGTCACTGAAAATGTATATCAGAACATTTACAGATTTACAGTATTGCGTCACAGTGGGAAGTGGGAACTTCGAAAGAAGTGTTTTGTACTTATATCAATAGTTTTTTTAGTAATCTATGACGAAATTCTAACGCGTGGAGACTAAGTGTTGAGACCTTATTTTATCGTAAAATAAATGAATG